GTGATCACAAAATGCTAAATTTTCATTCCAGTCTCCATCACGCAACAAAGATCACAACTTTGCGCATTGGATCACGCGCCAAAACAGCAATTGACTGGATGCGAGAGAAAATTTCGCGCTAACTTTTCTGTTGTTGCGTAAATTAAAGAAAATAAGCTTTTAAAAAAGGTCAATGGGCAGTACTGTAAAGTACAGAGCAATGTGCGCCTTTTCCAACCTCAAGAAAGATGATTAATTTGCCAAGCACTTGCCGCAACCTAACCCCGTAACTGATTTATGACTGTCAATGAACATCTGTCTCCCTCCAAATCATTAACAGCGATGCTTCGAACACAGTTCAAAATAACGTACAGTACCTGCCATTCAATAAGTTGGAATGGTTAGAAGGGTAAAATTTACACGTTACACCTCCGTCGATCAATTTTCGCATTCCCCATTTCTCAACAGAGCGGACTGACATAATATACTGTATTGAAGTATTTTTGCATAGAAACATTTCGAAACTTACTGATCACGACTCACGTGACCACTTCACGACACACTTTCGCTCAGTTTTTAGCTTAGATGAGACAAGAAAATACATGTACAGTAAGCAAAACGTAAATCATGTCTACAAAAGGAAAAAAAAATTGCGACGGATTTTTTTTTCGCAATGATCCATAGATTCGACTGTTCTCCAAGGAAACTCGAGCAAAATTCGGAATATTAATAAATGAGGAAACCCGTTCGATTCAGTTAATCTTGAAAATTAAATTCTAATCTTGAAAAAAAAAAAATTTACGGAAATATTCAAAGTGCTTGGTTCGAAAAAATTCTCCACACCAACGTGACCTACCAAAAGTCAAATGGTCATGGGAGGAAATTTATGACATCCTTGAGCCAAATTTCGACATTCGAGGCGAGCACAAAAGACAAGTGATATCGAATTCGTGCTCAACCCACGCAAAATCTGAAAGAAAGGAGTATCCCGATACTTTTTAACGACAGCAGATGGGGAAGAAACATTAATTCCGAAACCAGAAGACCACGGAAAATAATTTCGAGGGAGCGTTTTCCATTTATCAATTTTATTACCCACAGAAGAAAAAATTTATTTATTTTGTTAAAAGCAATTTCACACATTTACTACGACTCATCAGACTTGGAAAAAAGGATTACATCCTTGAGCTAAATTTTGCGCTCGCATCCGAGTAGAAATCAAAGAAACTTTGGAATATAATTCATGTCCACCCAAGCGACGACTCCGAAAAAAAACATCATACAGTACATACAGCAGTTACCAGGGAAAAGCAACAGTGCATAAAAGACCTCTTAATAATCTCAAAACGCCATGAAAAATGAATCATGACTGCGGAATTACGTTTTTATTGTAAAAGAGACGGGGGAACTGTCGAGGCATAATTTTTGCTTGACCCCATGCAACGTCAGAAAAAGGAGGTAAGCCCACATTAAATAAAAACCTTCAGGAACATAATATGCACTGAAAGCAATCATGTCGGAAATTTAATACTGTAATGCAACTACCATTTCACAAAAAAATAGTGAAAATATTGAAAACGTTTTCATTCAAAGCATACCCTTTCACAACAAGGAAAATTCAAGAGAAAAGCAGGAATTAATTTCGGACATCCCTGCGCATAAATTATGTCTACCCAAACGACATCTGCTACAAAAATAGCTCCCCCAATTTTTTCGAAAGCGATCAAAAACCTTGCCCAAAATATACTAAGAGGAAGAATTACTCGACTCAGGACAGAAACATCATGTGAAAAATCACCGTAGATGTGCGAGGCCCACCCCTCCGATTACCTCCTCTATACAACCGTTTTTACCTTCCTAATTCGCTCGCACAAAAAAAAACAACATCGTCCGTGGATCACGTACCGATTGAATGAGAAGAGCGAAGAAATACGACTCGCCGACGTTTGAAGGTACTGTACTATACTATTAAATCCCGCAAGAGGATATACAGTACAGTACTGTAGTACGACTCGCTTTTGGCCCCGATTCCTGGTCGTAGTGAGGGGCTTAAATCCCCTTTTACGGACAAAATTACGTACAGAAAGAAGAATAACATTCCACTTCCTCATCACGGCGCTCATAAAGCGCGGGGCAAACAAAAAGTTATAGCCCAAAACTCGTAATTCGACATCCTCGGATATTCCATGTTATGAGTAGAACGGAATGCAAGCTTGCGTAATCCAGCGAATATTTCGAATTCAATCCCAAGACGCAGTGACACGATAAAAAATATTAATAATGCTAAGAAAAAGATGGAAAAATTCTCCCGAAGCCGGGGGAAAAAAACTTGTCGGAATATCAACATTGCAACACGGCTGGCTGACTCGGAAGGTAAGCTGAAGTCACCTGTGTCATCCTCGCAGATTGTCCTAATGAACTCAGAGCTCTCCTGCATCACAAGCATACGGCACTCGAAAAACCTTTTTCCTCTTGCGTCACTCCGCAACTATATTGAGCCCACTATCAACGTTGCCTTTTTTTTATTTTGTTCTTCCTCGCCACAGCGAACACCAAGAAGCTTCCTTTAGATTGCTCAAGCACAGCGCACATGACAGACGGCTTTTTCAAGCCATCCCTTCACCTACGTTTTTCCCTCCATGAGGTTGCAAATGCTAACCTTCTACGTTTTTAGGAAAAGTTTATCTTTTCATCTTTACGCTCTTTAAACATTATAAACGATCAAAACGTTGCAAGTTTGATGACTATTTTTAAAATGAGCCGATATCGAAGATTTTTTTTACGACGTACCACCCCGTTCGAATTGCACTAATTTCAGAATAAAAATTTCACGGATTCTTTCAGATCTCATTCAAAAGACGGCTGGATTTGTTCTTCTTCAGAGGATAAGAACTTGAGCAAAAAAATGGTGGGGCCCGAAACAAAGACAACTCGACTTAAGGACGCATTGAATTCGAGAGTCTACCCCGACATCTGGACGATGTCTTGAAACACAGATACTGTACTTGGCCAACATTTCTAGAAAATCACTCGAAGATTTTGATATCTCTAGAAAAAATTGAGTTTTTTCCATGAACATAAGTGCAAAATACTGTACATCTCATTAAAAATTTAGTTTCATTCAAAATCCAAAAGACGCGAACTTCGTACTTATCTTTTTAAGAGTTTTCCATTAACTGTAAATAGTGAAGCAAACTTTTAACTTTCGAGATTTCTTTTCATGTCAAAAGCGCAGATTCTGAGTGGTTTCCTTCACCTTACCTGTATAAGTAATTTTTTCGAGCATTTAAAAAAAACGCTGTATTTAACTGAAAGGTAAAAGTAATTAAAATTGCTCCGACTGAAGTCTATGGTAAAACAGGATCCGGCATTCGGGCGTTTAAACATACGGATGAGGTGAAAATACCAAGCCCGTCCGCATCTTGGGGCCCTAATGTGAATAGTACAGTACAGGTATTTCAACAGTGTATGAAGCATGTCCATAATAATCTAGTGAATATAAAATAACGTAGTTCTCACAGGAGACGACAGGTTGCCTAACCACAATGCAGTGTTCAATGCAGTTTCATTAAAATATAATTGTTTCATTGTACTCTCTCTGTACAATGGGGTTTTCAACCCATGTTAGAGACCTACAGGGGTTCTCTATAACGAAAGTCTCTCCACAACGAATACTTTCCCAGTCCTTCGAATTTTATTACAGATATATTCCTCCTGAATAAAACTGCGCATCGTCAAAATACAGAGTAGTCTCCTACAAATCTGAATTGAAATGGTATGCCACGCACGGGACAAACTTACCCGTAAAACCCCGCAGGGTCAGCGATGAGTCGTTTTTAAACTTTTACCTGAAGCGAGGCCAGTCTCGTATTAATGTTCGATTTAAAAACTCTCACTGAGGCTTGTTTTCAGGGTACTTGCAGTATTTATGAGAGAGACGCATAGAGGAAACCCCCCTTTCTCATTCAACATTCGGGAGAGCACAAATCTCCTCAACTGCCTCATAACTTCAACAAGCATCAGGGAAAGAAAGCCGGAAAAGAAAAGAAATCTCCCCGTGATAGAGAAAAGACGGGTTTACCGAGCGCACTATCTTTCAGACCCACACGTCTTCTTTCTCTCAGCCACATTAAAATTCTTCGAACGTGTGAGACGAATCAAGTTTCTTCATTAGCAAATATCTCGGCTCTCGCATAAGTATACGATCATCCCAGTGTGGGACTTTCGCGAAGTCAGATGGAAGAACGAAGGAAAATGAAATCCAAAAAAAAAACGGACTTACTTTCTCAATCAAGTCGATGGTTGGCTGAAGGTCGAGTCCGAAATCAATAAACTTCCATTCGATTCCTTCACGCTGATATTCTTCCTGTTCCAGGATGAACATAGTGTGATTGAAAAGCTGTTGCAGCTTTTCATTCGTATAGTTGATGCACAACTGCTCAAAGGAGTTCAACTGCAAAATAAGGCGGGATCCATCGATTAATCCATCGTTTTTCAATGAGTATACACTCGCATCAAGTAACACGACGAGTCTCACGTCAAAAGAATATCCTACAAGGTTTCAGAAACAGCGGCTTTACCACCCACCTGATACCTTAATTACGTACTTAATTTTAGAAAGATGACTAATGAGTTGTTTACTGGTGAATTCGCACCGAATCTCTTACGATGCCTGAAGAGAGTCTTCAACGGCAGCCGATCATCATATCCAACATTTATTCATAAGAAATAAATTAGTTTTCCAAAGTCTGAAAATATCATCATATAAATTAAGCACCAACAGGAATGAAAACTACCTTCTCTTGAAGGTAATGAACATTGTGAACATATCTCAAACGATTTTCACCTCATGAGGCGACGATGTGTGTCCTACTGATTTCAGGTAGCATATTAATAAGATGATCATCAAGGAATAGTTATTACGCGGCGAAAATAATGACGATGGACTAATCTTAGGTCACTTCTTTTTCATAAAATACAGTTAGATCATTTCACACATTTAGGTTATATTCCTTCACAAGATTGAATCACTGGGAGTGGAATTCCGAGTGATGAAATAATATCACAGTAAATATACTGTACTGTTTTTGCTTTACGAATAATGTGTAACAAGTATTGTAGTTAGACAGAAATTTATTTAAAGCAAAAATTTGTTGACATTGAACACCTTTACCCGAGTTGACACACGAATATTTAAAAATAGAAAAATAAACTCTTCGAGTCCAAAATTTCACGCGATGGAAACAAAAATTACGTAATCTATGCGTTAATTTTTCGGAAATTTATTTGAAACTCCGAAATAAACTTCTGTTCAGTAGTATTTTATATTTTTATTCACAGGAGTTGTATTCATAACACCGTTATCATTTCGATGCCACCATTCGCCGTGAAGAACTTCGACTGAAGGTTCTGGTTCCTTCCACTAACGTTCAATTGTAATTATTTCGTCACGTCAAGAAATTTTTTTTTATTATAATAAATACTTTTTTCTACTGACGACACGAAACTGGGTTGATGACTACAGCATTGAAGAGACGCTTAAAGTAATTTCGTATTTCCCTCGACAGTGTTGCTTTACAAAAAGGATTCAGATTCCAAACGGGTATAGTATCATCAACCCAGAAATGCGCCCATAACTTCAGGACAATGGACCAAACGAAATAAATGCACCGAGCAAATATAACCGCATTGCACATGCAAATGCGGAGAAGAAGAAGAAGAAGAAGAAGCAGCAGCAGCAAAAATAAGTAAATAAATAAACAGTTCAGGGATTATTGAGTCATCATCAGTCGGATCGTCTCATTCGTCGGCACCAACCTCAAAAATCTCAAAGCCCGCAATGTCGAGGATTCCGATGAAAGAGGCGCCTTGACGCTTGGTTCGGTCCAGCGACTTGTTGATGCGGATGACGAGCCATCGGAATAGCTTCTCGTAGAGCGATTTCGCAAGGGCTTCGACTGCGAACTCCACCTGAGGACAACAAATCTCTCAGTTAGAACCTCTTTCATCATCATGTCTCGGTGACAAAAAGAAACGATTCGAAAAAGGGGGGCAGAAAAAAAAAAGAGGCTTCCATCTCATCTTCTCTCCCTCTTTCTCCTGCCCACTTGGAATATATCTTGCCTGAGGCAAAGGAACTGCGTCGCATTCCGACTGATCACGCTTGGACAACTCCATTAAAACCAGTTCGAGGGGAAAAAAAAACCCCTGCTTGTTTCATCCCGGCCTGCCTGCCTGCGATCTATTTCGCTCTCAACATGACAATAATTTCAATCTGTCGTCGAACATGAGGAATTCATTTTGATAATGGAAATAATGCGTCACGTAGGATATTTGCTGCATTTCAACTGTTTTCCTCAAATCTAAGACGACATCGACAATTTAATGCACTTCTTCCCCCCCCCCTTTTAGCTACACATTCAATTCTTCGAAGTCGAAAGAGTTCGTTGATTCTACCCCTGCCTCCGTTAGGAATCAGAAGATTTTCAACTCTGTCTCAACGATTCGTTCAATTGAATTCAATCCAGCCGGAATATTCAGCTGGCTACAAAGAATCACGCACTTACTTGCCAACAGAATCTACGACGCAACGCCAGTAAATGAAAAGAGCTCATGCACCGGATTTACTTCTTGTAACAAAGACAATCATGCACTTGACCATCAAAAGAAAAGAAAAACTCCAATCATCTGGGCTCAAAATAACCTGGCATCCGATTGACCGCGCAATTCATAGAAGATAAAAAAAACAGAGCCCATTTTATATCTTGTAAATTAAACTCGAGCTGCTGGATATTTCATTCTCCGATTCATATCATCACTTAGGTACATAGATATTTCCGAAAATGTCGAACTTCAAGGGACCAGCACAAAATATCGAGTTAGGGAGCTAGGAGGAAACCGAAGAATTAAGAGGAAATTCAAATTATAATTGGTGATATTTTGGGCTTCAAATTGCTTCTAAAGTGAGTTGATAGGATGCTGAATTCGGAGGCAATGGTCAATTCGCCCAATTAGTCTTTCACTTCCTTTCAGAGGGGGGCATCAAGTCAGACTTTTTTAACTTTTCTCTTTCTTGGGTCAATAAAATACTTTCAGAAAATTCAAGTTAAGGAGGTTTGAGGGGGAGTGCCTTTGAGTTAGGGAGATTTTCTACTTTTAAGGCATCGTTTTCAAGGAAATCAGACAGGGACTCGACAAAATTCGACATATTACAGAGGTTCGAGTTATCAACTAGCAATTACAAGGTTTATTACAAGGTTCCACTGCATAACGGGATGCCAATTTTTTCCGATAGCATCTTATTATTTACAGCAAAGGCACTCAGTCATTAGCCCAAATAATTGGACTTCTACAGTGGATACAAAACAAAATAGTCAAGAATCATCCCGTCCACGTGCGTGCGTGTGTGTGTGTGTGCAACCCCAATCACTCGAAGACCAGACGATAATTCAAAAAAAAGAAACAAGCATCATACACGAGAAGCGAGGCTCGGAAAAAGCAAGTGAACAAACCTGTTCTTTAGTTTGGGCTTTGCTGACGTGCTCGCGCCCGACTTTGATCCGGGGCTTGAGGAAGGCTTTGGTCATCTCTGTCACCGGCACACCCAGCAAGTGTGCCACTTTCTGCGCCACTGTGTTGTCCGGCAAAGTTGCCTGGTCGCTGTTGCGCTCCTGTTTGAACTGCATGTTGCCAAACAGCAGCACTGCTGACACCGTCTTGAAAATTGCTACATGACGAGAGAGGGAGAAAGCAGACAAAAAAACCAAAGTGTCCATTAGTGAAATGTCACCAAGCAAAGACGATCATCAGAATGCATAAAGGGATTAACATTACGCCATTTTTATGTTCCTGAACGGGCTGCACTTTTCAATTCACTGCTATTTCGCCTGACTTCCTGAATCACACGAGAAAAACAGTTTGCCGATTTTGTCGTTTTTCACGATCAGCACGAACGAAACATAAAAAAGCCACGGTATCAGGATCAGCTCAACGCAGAATCGTCAACTTCACTGATCATCAGATCAGCGGTATACACAAGATATCACCAGAAAAATATGTGACACTTGCGTGAAATTTTCCCCTGACCGCCTTCAACAACGGTCGATTTCACAAATCGAGTATAGAAATTCCATTACTGTACTACGGTGTGATTTTGTCGTTGTTCACGATCAGCACGAACCAGAAACGAACGCAATATAAAAAATCGACGGTATCACGATCAACTCAACGCAGAATCGTTAGTCGAACTGATCATCAGATCAGCGAGAAACATGATTTCACATGAAAAACATGCGACCCATACGTGCAATTTTACCCTGACCGTCTTCAACAACGGTCGATTTCACAAAGCGTTCAACAAAAGTCAGTACAGCGATACAATCCACGGAATACAGTATTTAATTTGGAACAAATGATAACCTTTTCATCAATGTTGCGAGAAAAAAAGAAAACCTAAAACTCCGAAGGGTTGAAATTTAATTTATGTGCTCGCATCTTTCTCTCATTATCCACAAAGATCCATGTGAATAAAACCAAACAGCCGCACGTACAAACAATTAACTCGATAAGATTTGTCATGACGGCAATTAATATTATTTCTTCTCCGATTAAGTGTTTTCGGTAGAAATTGAATGTACCCTCTCCGTTCTATGACAAAACGCGTCAAACCTCAGAAAAAAGCCCAAAAACGTGTTCTGAAACCTCGTATATGCTGCCAAAAATGAAAGACGAAGACATTTTACTTCTAAATCAGCTTCAAGTACAAAAAAACATGTCTGCCATAAAATTGAGTCATGGCATGATGTAGATACGAGTTTGACGCTCTCGCCATAAATTATTTCGTAAGGAAATACCGTAATGCGCACAGTAATTCAATTGTGCTCGCCTCGTCCCTTGGCTCAATATTCCAAACAAACACATGAAAAGGTGACCACCATCAATATGCGCCCCGTTCAGCCGACGAGGAGGAATTAACCCAAGGGCTCTTGGAAATAACATACCTCGACTTTCCAAGATATACGGTTTTCAAGCGTGTAAAAGAGACGCTTTCAAAGATATAATTGGGGATTCCTCAAGGTAGCAATCACAACGCAGACTCAATCAACGCGTACAAGTCGCATAAAATATTCCAAGAACAGTAAGTACAGTACATCATTCTCTAAAAACGAAAAGAGGGATTGCTAAACACACTTCTACGAACTCCATTGCGCGATTTTTTTTTTCAATTCCGAAGAAGCGATCGTTGCATTATCTTAGCATGAATCACCGGGTTTTAATGTTTTGGAATACATTCGCCGAGGATCACGCGAATACACCAGACTTTCGACAAATTTTGTGTACAGCGAATTTTTGTGTAAAACGATTTTCTCGGTTGCGTAAGATTTTTTTTTCTGTTGCCCATAAATTCCTTGTTGCGATAGTCAAATTTCATCATATCCAACCAATAAATCTCCTTGAATTCCATATTATTGAGAAAAAAATTATTTGGCGAATTACGAGACACGGCAATTTTATACTACAGTATAATACGCCACAAACTTCAGCGATGATATTAGTCATGATGGAAATTATGTGACGCAAAAGATGAGTTCATTTTATTCCTTGGCTCGAACGCGAAACACACCTTGAACGAACTACGGTATAATTAGGTTAATACTGTATATCGCCACTTTTAATTCAGGCAAAATCAGCCATACGAGTAATTTTTCGTGTGCTGCGATGTCCGTGAGAAAATATTCCGTATTCAAAAAAAAAAAAAAATAGCACACATATTTCTCACACCTCCCCTTCGATTCATTCGGTTCCCGTTTTTGGGTCAGATACTGCTTTCAAGTTATTTTTGGTGGTGAAACCTGTTTAAAGACTAGACAGGAGATTACCCAAATAAGGGGTGCACACGTTCGGACAATCCCACGCCCAACCCAGTAAAGTAATGCATTTTGCATGACAACCTACGAGACTATTTAATCCAAGACAACAGCCTGATTATTTGGAGCTAAAGATATTTCACAAGTACGTCTCATATTCGCGCATACTCAATACATTCGATGTCAAGTCACGCTCGCGTACGCTTGTATCCGCTCATGTTTTTAAATTAATCGTCCGATCGATAATAAAATTAATTTACGGGCAGCAATTCGAAGCTAATCACGTTCATGACATCCTTATTTAAAAAAGAAAACGTCCCTTCGAACAAACACCTCATGGGAAAAGAATATTAAAATTTACTCGCGTTAAGAAACAGCAGAATAACCAACAACGATCAAAGCAGAATTACTCCATATTGGGTCCCCACACAACGAATTTAATTCGTTTTTGAATGCGTTTCGTTGTGAGAAATTTCCGGATTGAAAAACGCGATTTCTCTCGAGGTTGATGGGTAAATTAAATATTGCAATGCGTCCAGAAACTCACCAAAGGCCCATATAGTCAACCCAAATAACCTCATACTATTCTTAGTCTTCGGAACAAATCCGTTAATTTAAAATTGATTCGGGTTGAATTCAGGGGATCCTGAAAAGTTTGCGCTACTTTCTTTCTGCATTTCACAAATTATACGAACAAGAATACGCAAAATATACCTCACTTTTATAATATACGCCAACAAACTTGCCGAAATTCGAGGGGTTTCAAGCCGCACATTTCGTCACGTGAAACAATTTCGTTATGTGAGTCACATTCCCTTCCTCTTCCCAAGGAAATTTCGCAATGCGGAATATTTTATTTATTTATTTTTTTCGTTGCTTGAGCCTTTTCATTACGCAGAGACTTACTGCATTGTAAATGATTTCTAATTGAAGACGATTAACACCGCTGCAAGCGAGATGAAAGGCAGTCTCTTTCAAAAGCTGTCTGGGTACACCAACAAGTTTCGGAATCCTTTCGGGAGCAAATAACGAGCGTTGGCAACGGTCGGCATTAGGCAAATCACAGGCCCACCGACGGCGCAGCAAATACGTGCTTCGGAAAACAGCGCATAATTTATCGCCAAAAGGACACCCCCCATCTACCCTTTTTTTTTTCAGACGGACCCGACTCCCTAATGAATCCCGTCCGTACGAATGCGCATGAAACGAGCCAGGGCCGGAATACGTTTGCGGGAGGGAAAAGGTACGCAGTGCAAGCGGAAGACAAGGAGATGCACTAAAAATAAAGCGGATGAGAGAACGGAAGGAAAACGAAGGGGTGAATCGCGTAAGAAGAAGAAGAAGAGGAAGAAGAAGGAAGGAAGAAAGTGAGAGAAGAAATACCGCGACCCGACGCGGATGGAATCTCATCGGGGCGGAATTCCGGAACGACCTTGTTACAACAACGTTGGCCGAGCCGGTTCAACTTCCAGCGGAATCTCGAGACATCGTCAATCCTTTCAATCATCCTAGACCGACGAGTTCACCTCGGCTCTTCCCCAAAGTTTCAATCACAGTTTCCAGTTGACCCACCCCCGTAGAGTACAACAACAACTACAAAAAACCCCATCTTGACAAGAAAAAAAGCTGCCCTCTCTAGTTTAAGCTTCTGTCGCCTCTATTCCATCCTTTTTTTCTTTTTCAAGGCATCGAAGCTGATTAGATGGTAACCCGATAATCATAAATTCACATGAAACCAATCAATTCTTGCATCAAAACCAACAAAAACGGTATTCTCACATATTATCCGGGTAAGCCATCACAACGCCAAGAAACATGACCGAACATTGAGTAACACAACAACCCTGAAGTAAACTAACCCCATGAACAATTAGTCCAGCCTACGCGTTTAATCAAGTAGAAAACAACTTGTCGAACCTCTTCAAGTCGAATTTTTAAGGGACCATAAAAAAATTCAAGTCAGAAAAAAAAAGCATTATTAGGAAAGAAATAAAAATTTCAAGAAATTGTTAACGGTGAAATGCTCGGCCTTAAATTGCGTCTTACATGAGGTGAAAGGATGCTGAACTTGGAGGCAAAGTATTATTTGCCCAGTTAGACCTTCAATTCCTTGCAAAACACGCAAAGTTCACTTTTTTATTGCTTTTCCCTTTTCCTGCGTAAAAAAAATTTGCCAAAAGGCTCCACAAAATCCAAGTTACAGAGGCAGAAAGGAAAAAAGAAAAACCTTAAATTATAAATTCTTGGTGCAAGGTTTATAAATGAATTCAAACGGGGGTTCAAAAAAAGAAATCGAAATAAAGAAGTGAGACCCCAAGATGCGGACATAATTGGTGCATCAAAAGTCAAAATGTCCCTAAGTTGAGTCTCATTTCCCTTAGACTTACATTATATAATTTTTAATTGGTGTTTTATGTACAAAATACTCACCGTAATTCCATGAAAATAAAAATTGTTTCCCAATTTAAACTGATTCCCATCAATATAGTATTTCAAAACAATATGGGCCTTTGGGGAATTGAATACTGATACTTCTGTACAGTACATAGAAATGTTGGCATTCTCTGTACGAATAACATTCAAGTGAAAAAGAGAGAAGGAAGTCCCTGTCTGCTGGAGGTAATTTTTCTAAATTAGCTAAATGGATGGTAAATTGGTGAGAGAAATGCCCAAGAACTTTTCTCACATAATTTTATGGTTGGAAATATCTGTTTCTTGTAATTTGGCCTGAAATTTATTTGCAATTTTATAACAAAATGTCCCTTGTCAAGTCAGTGTCCTCATGTCGGGCCTTTTTTTATTAATTTTTCATGGTAAGATAAGTGTCCCTATGTCGAATTTTCCGCAGGTCGAGGTGTCC